ATTCGATAGAATATTATCGATTTCTATTATTTTCAAGAATATATATTTTTTTTCAATATTCAATTTAGATATAATAATCAATAGATTTTTTTTTTCATTTTTTAAATCATAATTCAATCTCTTTTATAGATTTTTTGAGAATAAATGAAATTCTTAGGAGAATTATTCTCAATGATATTCTTATAGTCGTATTATTAAGAGCTAGATTCTTCAATATTAATTAAAGATACTATAATATATGAAGATATATGAAAATATCGGAAATATATTAATATAAACAGATGATTTATATAAATATTTCATGTGGAAATAGGATTCATATTATTTATAAATCTCAATTCATATTCTATAGATTTATTTTTATGATTATATGCTAGGAATATCGTCCGATCCAATCTTATTTTAATAGATTATCTTTGAATCCTCGAGAATTTCCAGAAATCCTTTTATTTTTTAATCTAATATTTCTTTAGCATCATAGATATGAAAAATTATTTTCTATAAGATATTTGAAAAGATAAATTCTATATTAATATTAAATAGACCTACTTCTTATAATATCAGAAAATATTTATTTCAGAATTCTAATAACGAAAAATCCGATGCATAATCAATATATACAATCGTATATTTAATTCGATATATAATCAAGATAGAAAATAATACATATTCAAGATAAATAGTTTATAGATTCTAGAAAACTCTAATTCTCTGTCCCATATTTCAAATTCCAACGAGTCGCCACGGCGAGAAATTAAAAAAATTGAAATCACGGAGACGATTTTTTATCGCGCGAAATACGCATCCAACCTAACCTTTCCGTCTCATTTATCTTTCTCAAATTCCCTGGGCAACGACTTTCCAGAATATATCATAATAGATATATACGATCAATCCTCATTCTGAAAAAAAATTTCATCCTTCATCTCGAATTGAAATATTCCGCCAAATAATCCTAGAAATAATCAAAGAGAAATAAATCACGTAGAAATTTGACCCGGAAGCTAAGATCCGCGACCCAAAAAATCTCAAAAATATTTATTCCCGCGCCGAAATCTCGGAAATCTTAGAAGCTCCAGCTTTCCGAAAAATCTTCAAAATACCTAGATGAGATTTTCAAAAGAGCCCGCAAAAAATATTTGAACAACGAGTGAGATAAATTAACTCGCACGCAAACGAAATAATTATAAATATCCGTGCCGTAATATTGAAATATAAGAGATATACAAAATTCATAGAATTATCAAATTTTATAATTCAAGCTAATTTATAAATCTCTCAAGCGTAAGTCTTGGAAAAAATATCTATTTCAGTAAAACAAATAAGAAGAATATTAAGAAATGATATAAATAGAGAAACAAAGAAAGAATCAATGAGTAAAGAGATAGAGAGAATATACTAAATCTAATAACTGAATATATAAGATGAGATCATTTTTTTTATTTCTATCTTTTTCTTCCCCCCTAAATTTCATTTATCAATAATTCTCATTCGATATAATGAAAGAAACAGGTCCGATATTTCGTGAACTTATGCCGGTCTGAGGATTATCTCGGAGCGGTTTATTCTGAATGCCTGCTCACGTTCAGCATATTTTGGTCCATTAGCTTTCAAAAACTTCATAAGATTAGGTGGTCACAGCCCACCCACGCCAACGAACGAGCCGCCGAAAAGATAGACAGCGAGAGATGAGGCGGAAAGAGGGTTGGGGCCCGCGACCAAAAATTTCTCAGATTTTGTTCTGTCTGTTGCGGCGACAGCCAATGTCTTGAGCTGGCATTGCTTGAAAACATGGCGAAACTTGGCCCTGATCACCGGAAGGTTTAGTGCAATAAGCGTCAGTGGCAACCATTGTCAATCTACCCCTGACCCTGAATGTTTTCTCCGAGGGCCCACTCCGTGGCCTCACAGCCACCCAATAGCGGTTGTCCGCGATACTGCCTCATCTGCTCGGTGAGGCTGGCCTTATCGAGGATCCTTCTTGAAATCAGGCGCGAATGTTGCCATGGCAATTCCCGAGCAGCGCGTGAGCTCTCAGAAACTATACAAGACCCCACTACAAGGTATCAGCTGCAGATGTATCACACTCGCAGGACTTTCTGTAATGGGACGATGCGCGCTGCCAGAGAAATCCCTAACCTCAAGGATACCAAACAGACAAACATGACCGCAGGGCCGAAACAAGGCTACTCCTGTTACTTGGCACGCGTGCCCGATCATTGCCCTGTCACCTGGTGATCAATAAATACTGCTTCAAGCGCTGCAAAGAGCTTGCGCAGCTCATCTTTTTGCTGACCGTGGCCCTGACCCTGATCCGGAATCGGGCGGGGCCTGCGCAAATCCTTCCAAGATATCGCCGCATGCCATGCCCCTGGGAGGGCTAAAAGAACTAGTAGCTGGTAACTAGTCATCACACGAATTCCTCAGAACCTGAGTCACATCATGTCACACACCAAAACTTCTGCCAAATGCCAGCAATGTCGCAAGCACATCACTTGCACAAAGCATCACCTGCGCTCCTTCACTTTCGTTATCGTCAAAGGCAGTACGGAGCACTACAGGCCCAAAAGACAAGCCAAAGCTAAACCTATCAACCATCACGCAAAAGCCTCCGCCGCCCAAACCAAAAAACATATGACTTCATTCAAGATTGTTTCTGCATGAACCTAAGGTGTCAACTTCACGTTGAGCTGGGCCTGGAGTTTGACCAGCTGCCCAGGAGAGGCTGCCCTCTGTGGCCGCATGCGCCCGGAAGGCGCAATGCGGCATACACGTAACCGCCATGTGTCATAAACAGAATAGACCCAGCAGGCACAAGGGCTTGAATGTTGAATCTGTAGAATTCATGCAGAATTTGACGCTCTTGTGCATACTTCGTGCACTGCACGAAAGCAGCAGCTGCTAGGCCTTGCTATATAATCTAAACAGGGGCGGCTTTTGCCGCGACATTGTCATGCGGCGACGCCACATTCACTGACGCCATGTGAGCTATTGACGCCGCGTTCTGACGCCACGTGTGCGGTGCTGACAGACGCCCTCGACAGCATCGTTCCTTGGCCCGGCCGGAGCGTCCGATGTTGGTGGCGGCGCCAGATCCACAGACGCCACGTGAGCCACGTGCGGTGACGCCACCTGCACGTTTTCGCGACGCCACGTGAGCTCCTGCCACGTCCGGCAACGCCACGTGCCAGGTGACTTCACGAAACCACATCCTGGCGCCACGTCCGGCGGTGCCGCATGGGCCTCCAACCCTCCCAGAAACCCAAAGTGCGAGCCCTCAGCTCGTCTGACATGTGTCTTAGCCACGACGCGTCTGTCTTGGGGAAGTGTTTTCGCACGCCCATGCGTCTTCGCAACGACACATGTTTTCGCCCGACCTTTTTCGGGAAATGTCTTCGCGCGCGTGTCTTCGCGGCGACACGTGTTTTTGCCCTTCGGGAAATGTCTTCGCACACCCGTGTCCCTTCGCGAGGAGACGTGCTTTCGCCCGACCTGTCTTCGGGAAGTGTCTTCGCACACCCATGCGTCTTCGCCCAAACTGTCTTCAGGAAGTGTCTTCGCGCGCCCATGTGTCCTTCCGACGACGCGTGTCTTCGCACGACTTGTCTTCACGAAGTGTCTTCGCAACAACACGTGCCTTTGTCCGACCTGTCTTCAGCAGATTTCGTTTAACAGGCACGTGGCCTCACTCTGTGAAGAGTCTTGACCCGGGCAGTGTTCTGCGAAAGTGTCTTCGGAGGCCCATGTGTCTGCGCTCCGAGAAATGTCTCCGCTGAGAAAATGTCTTCGGACGCCCACGTGTCTTCGCTCGGAGAAATGTCTTCGCGTAGCTTATGTCTGCTGACGCCCAGGTGTCTCCGCAAACGGTTCTTCGGAGTCTCAGTCCTATACCTCATGACCATGGGTCTCCAAAACGTGTCTTCGATTTTCGGTGGAAATGCGAACCCCCCAGGCGACCGCAATGTAAAAAATAATTCTCCCACGCTTGCCTGCTACGTCTCGAAAGATTACAATCATTCCAATCTGCACTGATGTTCTCTTTTTCGTACGCGCAAAAACTGGAGCTTCTCTCCACGAAGCTCGTCGACGTAACTCGTACAGATTCAGGTGAGGAGGTCGGTCATCTCCTAATTCGGTCACGATCTTGAATGCCTCGCAGGTAACATGAACAAATTAATGTACAATTGTGTAGGAAAGGTCATGCTGCCTTGGCCAACGCGACTGCCTTTTCATCATGGTTCCAGGATCTGTTCAAGTGGATCGTGGCCTCTTTGCCAGCACCCCACAGTACAGTAGTGTCCTGACATGACGCAAGTTGCAAACTCTTGGTCCGTGATCGGATGCTGAAACTGATCCTTGTCCTTGTCTGTGGTTAGATCAAGGATGCCAAGCAAAGAATGAAATGTCAGCACCTCTACCTCAGACTAGGAGCAAAACAAAGGAAGTACAATGTACAATTCTTCGAAGGCTTTGATGCCTCAAGCAGTCAAGCTGCATACCCAAGAGCCGCACATACCACAATGTCGAAGTTCCCCGTCACGCCGGCATCGTTAAGCCTCTGTCTAGCCAATGCCTTCCTTGACATGGGACCCACGTCTGGATCCAGATCAGAGCCTTCCACAATCAGCAGGCTATCGGAATCAATTGACAGCAAGTCCTTGGGCACACCTCCAATAATCCCTGTCCAATCCAGACGGAGTGGGTGAATCTTGGCAGCCTGATGGTTGTGTCGGCGAAGTGTGTTGTCAAGCTGAGAACGTTTATCTATTTTGCATCAAGCTGCTTGACCACTATCAAGATTTGTGTTTATGTTCCTGCGGATGAGCTGAACTGCTTCGCCTCAGTTGCCGGCTTGTGAGCACCGACGATGCCACGAAACTTGAAATTGCTTCCAGCAAGCGATCGATTGCTCATAAGTTAGCTTGCAGATTGCTAGTCAACATGCAAGCACCCATGATTGTCCCTGCTCTGCAAATGACATCATGCCGTGTCACCCGAAGCATCCGTAGCCACCACAATGGCGCCATGAAGAGTTGCCAGAATTGCAGCAAGCCCGATACCAGCCCCCAGCTCAAGCACGCGGCGTCCCCCTTACCGAGGACAGCCAGACAAAGACTCGGCCCCAGGCGTGACATGGTGTTACTATGCCCTGCAACAGAAAGCAAGGGATGCTTCCGTCAGAACAACGAGTGGCGGAACATGCTGGAAGCAATGGCCCTTTCTTCCATCCACCGCATCATCATGTAGCCAGATTCCCAAAGGACAAGTGGAACCTGTGAACAGTGACTTGCAGATTGTATGGAGAAGTATTATGCGATTGTCCCCCTTGGTGCTTGTTGAGGCACCCTGTCTGGCTGGTAGATCTGCCATTCGCCTTCAAACGTTCCGGGTACCTTACATGGATTCTCAACAGCTTCAGCTCTGGATGTTCTCAAGGCCACTCTTTCAGCCTCGCGGCATCCTGGTGCAGCTTCAAGATGCTGCCTCCAAAGATGGGGTAAATCTTCTTAGTTACACTGCTATTGCAAGGTGTCATGCTGCAATCCTTCAGTACCAGCGGAGGATCGAAGCTTCACTAACACCTGCTTCGAGTGCCAGTACGGTATGTGGCGCCTTTGCTGTCCAAAGCCAAGGATGCATGTTTGAAACAGCTTCTCATCCCCTCTAGAGATTAGAGTGATTAGAAAACTGAATTCGTTCGTGGCCTCAGAGCAAGCCCATGTGATCAAGCTGCACCTTCTTGCATCAAACTCAAAAACTGCAAAGTTCTGCACAAGAATTTACCTGTGGGGACTGACTCACCAAAAACAAATGGCCCAACTCTCAGAGAACTAAGCTAAGAAGAGTTTAGGCGTCCTAGGCTGGGCACAGGAACCGAATCTTACAGTATGGCGTGCTTGTTGCAGGCGTCTGGCGTTAGTTCATTTTCACACTTCGAAGCCTTCAATGTCAACTACAGAATGTGCCAAGAAAACGCTGCGGTGGGGAACGACCCTCGGGCTCCTGCAACGAAAGCTCTCTTCCATTGTGTTGATCAGGTTGCTGCACACTTTCACTGCGTCCAAGGGTCTGATTATCCGAATCAATTGCCAAAGCACAGCATCGCTCGAAGGTAAAAAAAGAAGCAGCAGTCCAGCATCTCTCTCCGAGCTTTCCATCGAACATACAGCACATCCTCGTAAAAAAGCAGGAGCTACAAAGCAAAAAACAAACTCACACCTGGTGTGCTGTGCCTCGAAGACTAAAAAAACAAGGTGGCCCGTTCACATCTTAGCAACTCGAAGGTGAAGCAGCCATTCATCTGGCGGTCTCTCCATGGCATCGAGGCAGGACATTCATCCGAGTACCAGCAGGATGGCAAGACAGATGCGCCGACGCCGACAGCCGCATTCAGGACCGGTACCATAGGACATGCATCCAAGCGGCCAGGACTGCTGCTGGCAAATGCAGCGCTGCCAGTTGTAGCTTTTAAGCGAATGTTGAATCTTGCTCCAGTTGCTATGCAGTTGCTATGTCAAGGCAACGCTTTGGTGCAGAACCGGCGGACACACTGCACTGACATCATATCCAATAGCTTAACATGCTATGCCTTGCTCAACGCGCCTCCAGAGTTGGACGGTCTACTGCCACGGCTCATGCACCAACCACATGCTTTGATTTTGCATTGTACACCGGTACATTATACAATTTTTTCGTGGTGTCTTGCTACTGAACGACCAGTGACGAATGCACAGAATGTTATCGCCGTGAAAAGGGAGTGGTGGGGGTTGAACATGAAGGGGGTAACCATGTACAGCATACAGAGTCCAGCGTGAGCTGCTTCACTGCGCTTGCGTGCATCCTTCGTAGCCCACCCTAGTTCTGCTGCTAGCGCTTGTACTGCGCTCTGGCAATGCCACAGCAGTTTTGCAACTTGCTGAATGGAAGACGTCAGTGTGCTTCTTGAAAAATTCTTGCCTAGGCTCAGCATAGTGTATTCCCCTCACAAGATCCAACCCCTAAGGTGTTTATATACAAGCTTCACCATCGCAACAACCTGCTTTAAGCCCAACATCATGGCTACGTAAGTGTAATCCCTTCAAAGCCCTTCGTGCTCTGCATTTTGCAAATCTGGGCTCTTTATGCTCGTCATGTAAACCTTGTTCCAAGCCAATTGTTGTCCAACATCATGCTGAACTCGTCCAGGAAAAATGCAATGGGCGCGTGTAAGCGCAAAATCACAACTTTTTCTGTGGCACACGCGACATGCAATGTCCGTTTCCTTTTGGCCATGGCCGTGCTTGAAACATGAGAGGCGCTAAATGCACTGATGCTTCTGTAGGTTTGTGCTATGCTCGAAAAAAATCCCGTAATGCATGACAACCGCTGCATGTTGGCCTGGAGGCATCACCATTGGACTTGCTGCTTCCGAGACATACAGAAAATTTCCAAGAGACCTGGAAACCTTCCGCTCACAGACATCAGCTGGGCCTGGGAGCGCTTGGTGGGAGCCAGTTTTTTGAAGTAATGGGAGGTCCCGCAATGAACCTCCTTGCTTGCGAGCATCTGTTCCTAGATGTAAGCAAGTCGTGATGCTTCCTGACCCAGTGGCGTAGTCTTGTGCCTGACAAAAGCAGTGACAAGCGGTGTACAGCACAAGTTGCAGCGCTACTGGAATGTTGTCCGCAAAGATTTGACCATCGCTTGATATCTTTTGCGCGCTCTTGGACCCCAGTGTTGCAAAGATTGCGCTTTTTACCGGACATGATTTGCTGTTCCGTGGGAGGGATGGCACTTGGGAAGGAAGGTTGGTTGGTCCACATCAACAAAAAAGAATATCTGCTTCAATAGGGTAACACTGACGAAACAAAGCTCCTTTTTGCGTGAGAGACGGATGGGAATTGTGCCGCCTGGCGAGAATGTCAGCACCCAGCTGCTTCTTCCTATGTACTAACGACAGAAACAGCTTTCGAATCAAATGTGAGGGCACCCTCGAGTTGCTGGAGTCTCTAAACGGTTCGCAGTCTGAGATTTCAACCATAGCATGTACAGCTGTGCCGAGTGTGAGTGTAAGCTCGAAAACAAACACCTCAGAACTTGCAAATGGCACGGTGTCCTTTCTCCACATGGCTCTGGCACAGCTTTTCTTCTATTTCAAGATCTGCTTGGCCCCCCCCCCAGCAGTGGACATGAACTTTCAAAAGCCTCTAACAGGTATGCTATATAGACAAGGAGATGGTTGCTTCCGCTGCCGCGCTGTTGCATCTTTACTCCTTTGGGAACAGTTCTTCGTGTGGGCTAGTAAAGCGAAAGCATGCGAGGCTTCACAAAGCGCAACTGCGTCCAATAGAAATGAAATTGAACCCCTGTGGCTTGCCAAGGCAAAGATCTCAGTCATAGTTGGGAGATATCAAATTATCGCTGACAACCATGTTGTGGGCTATAATGTGGTGAGGCACCGGGGCAACAGAATGCTTATCATAGTTTAGGCTGGCACCAACCTTGATCCAAAAACGAAGGAAAAAGTTGGCTTAACTGATAAGCTCGGTGCAGTGCAAGTCTCTAAAAAGCACTGTTTCTGTGAACCCCACTAGGCATAGAGCAATGGTCGCATGGTCGCAAACCTTCACGTCCCGAGGTCTGCATCTGCAGAGTTCAAGCCTGAGTCGCTGCTCTATAAATTCACAGCGTGCGCAAATGCACGTCGCATAGCATGCATCGATCCCGGAAATGATGAACGCACACATTTTGGACACAGATGGCGGGGGTGGAAGTCTCACAGCTGCGGTCCACGACATACCTCACCTTGACAAACAGTCATGATCCGGACACGCCTTCGTGTTGACATGTTTGGTCTGCCGAGGCACCAAAATCTCCATGCGTGTGAAGGAAGTTGCTGACGTTAGCCAGCTGTCCCAATGGAGAATTTGGCTTGTGACGGCGCACGAGACCTAGCTCTCAAGAAGCAACATCTCATTCTTTCTGTGGACATACAATATGACAGTGTGTCGAGAGACCCTGGAATTCAATCGCGGAGTTGGTGGGTCGCCTTCCCTTGTCGACAAGCTCGGCCCACCATGCGTGGCAGCTGTGCTCGTTTGCCTCCACTTCCAGACTTCGGGCAACATTATTTCCGGCATTCTTACTTTGCATCGTGCCCACATTTCTGGAGCTTGTTAAGCGAGCCAGGCTTGGTTGTCCGCAGGCGAGTATCCAAGCGCTGGACACGGCAACCTTCACCGTGCAGGGCGCTGAGCCGAAATTTAAAAGGGCTTACGGCAAGCAACTCTTCGAGTTGCGAAGCCTTGGCACCTTGCAGCACTCATGAACCTTGTCGGCGATTCTGCTGGGAAGATTTCGACAAGGTGTGCACTCCGCGCTTGGATGACTATTCACCAGTTGGAAGATCAAAGCTTGGATTGGGGAGGCCGTTCGGAGGGCAGCACATAGTTCTGTTCCTTCAGCTTTGCTCGGATCACTTTCTTGTCAAGCTTGCCAGTCGTCGTCATTGGGATAGCTTCCCAGACCTGAAATGATGCAACTCAATTTAGCCGGCCTCTTTAAGAAATTGACCACACAATTCCGTCACATTTTGCACGTCCTAAAGGGGCGCCAGGCAAATGATCTCAAAGGTGCACGGACAAAGTCGTACTGTTTGCAAGCAGGCTGCAAGCACATCGTCCGGCAGTTGAAACTTTGCAAAGGCCGTGGAGAGGTGTTCTCGCACTCGTTCAACCAGATTTTCTGAGCTGCCGTCCTTTGCTAAGGTCACAACCTCGGACAGGTGTGCGCGCAATTTTTGTGCAGCCTGGCTGTTTTGGGTGAACTGGGTAAGCGGCCGCTATGGGCCTCTCATCCCAGCGTGCATGAGGGACAGCAACAACTGCCGCAGTGTCAATCCCGGGCATGGCCATGATCCTTGAAGCGCCTACGCAGCATGCACCAATTGGGGGATTGCTGTTGAAATATGCTTTTTGAAGCACGGACCTGTCTCTGAGGCCAAGGCATTTGCATACAAAGCTGCGAGTAAGCAAGCTACACGAAGCAAACGTACCTCAACCCTCAACTTCTGCGATGTAGCACGGTTATGCATACAGCCTGAGCCTTCAGGGTGGCCAATTCCAGCCAAAGTTTTCGAAAATGCGAATATCGCTATCAGGGAAATGGACTTTGCAGTAGTCATGCCCCACTTGAGAAAGGCCCTCCAGGGTCCTCCTTGCCTGCTGAACACCTGGTCCCTCATTGATAACTTCCCGCAATCCCAGTTGGAGCGCTAGGGATGGAATCGCGTCACTAAGCACTTTGAGCAAGTGGCCTACATGATTCCACTTTTGCTCCAGCAGACTGTCCATAACAAACCACTTGGAATGTACAGATAGGTATGTCATGACTGCAAGACGCCTGGTGCCAAGGAGACCCTGTGCGGACTTTGCTCCTAGCATGTCTGGTGCAAGTAGTTTCAAAATCTTCAACAACAACAACAACGACAACAACAACACCAAAATAATTAGTTCACATGACCGCATTTTGACAACGGCATTTGTTCAGAGAATGTAGATGGTGTGTGAAGCTCATGTGCTTCCAATGTATTTTAAGCAACCGCAGCACGAGCACATGGAATTGGTGCATCACGGCTATCTGCATACATATTGCACGGCCACCAACCTCTGGTGTGTAGCGTGTTGTGTATGTACCCAGAGATCTGCTGACAAGTCTGCCATTGAACTCGCATAGCTGCAGTGGGTGAAATTTGTTGCCCTCGCTCGGTGTTGCATTTACCTCTCCAACTTGCTCACCTCACACACCAAAGAAGCCATGGAGACCTTCAGTTTACACCTCTTGGACTTCGTCCTGAATTTCTCACGAACCTGTTGTATGCTTGCAGAAGTGACGTTGAGCCACTGGTGTAGCACTCATGTAAACTGAGAAATGCATCACGGTTTATGGGGTATCGAGTTATGTGCTATGTGGTCTTGGAGCTGATGCACCGTGGCAGGGATTCAAAGTGTGATAGGCGATAGGGATCTAATCAACATGGTAGGTACCCGTGGGAGCATAGGGGGCTCCCAAGACGACTGGTATAAGTTTGGAGCGATAAAGTGTATGTTGCGAAGCCCATTAATGGACAGCTGGACGGGCGTTGATGAAGATTGATTGCAATTGCCAACTGGAAGCTGTGTGCGGAGGAGTGGGTTTTTCCAGTACGAATGTCTGACGCGGGCTGCGAATCTCAAGCAGGCAAGTCTGGAAAAACAAGATGCATCACCAGCCCAAAACAGCCCTAATTGCACTTGGTGTCAAGTTCTCCATGTCAATGGAGGAGATCCACTCGCCACCTGATTTGACAACCTCTGATGTGCTGCAAGCAGTTCTGTTTTAAACCACTCACTAGCCCCGTCTGTATGGCAAATGGGGATCTGCAGCCAGGCTTTGATCTCTGTGGCTGTATCTGCTGCTAGGCCACATCTTTGGAGCGATCGCTGATGACGATTGCACCCTCATCATCCAGTTTTGCTACATCCCCAGTAATCAGCCACCCATTGTGGAACTTGTCTGGAGTGTCTATGTCGAAGTATTCCTCACAGGATTCTGGATGCAGGTTGGATTGGCATGTTACTGCGGCCCACGTCAAATCTATTGCAACCTGGCGATGGCTGTTGCACCCATGTTACTGCTAGGTCGGGGCCTGAATGATCCACGGCCCGCGCACGAGTAATTCTCCAGGCTGATCCCGTGGCATATCAATGTCCAGGTTGTCAGGGTTGGCCTGGGAGATACAGAGAATCATGGTGTTCTCGAAACCTGCCGAGATCCAATTCAATTCAGGACCAGATTTGGCCAGAAGGCAATCCGTACTTGAACGCCCGGAAGTGGAATGCCTGCCTTCACCACCTCAGGAACACGCAGCAACTCAGACAAGGGCAAGGTAAAGATCTTCACAGTGTTTGCCAAGCTCAGGCTGCATCATTCTTGAAGGTCTCATCCACACTTTTTTCTTTGTCAGCATGCTTGGCGACCTTGCGCATGGATGGCTTCGATAGGCTTGAAGGCAGCATTGCATGATGTACCCGAACCAGCACGGTGGGTTTCAACCAGGCCGGCCTTTTTTCTCCTCGTACTACACAAGCACCCCAAGGCACCCGTCCAATGGTACCCCCTACGAGGCCCAACCCCCGTGTGCAACGACCTGCTGAGGAGCACAAATCACTTTCCTCTCTTCTCCGGCGATTGGTGAAACTGCGAGGTTGAGCCACCCAAGACTTGCAGTTAAGTGAATGTACACTATGTCTTTCTTTCTTTCATTCTGCCTTCTCTCTTTCTTTCTGCTCCAATGGAACCCATTGACCTCAGCCTTTGACTGTCATTGCCCCCTGACCCATCCACATGCCACATTGCGAATCAAAGAACTGGAAACATGCTGTGCGCAGTGGCTTGGGTGGCAACCTTCCTTAACTGCAACATGGCTTGTCATGGATCATGTTATTGGCCCTTATCTTGCGGTACTGCTGCTAGTGCCTTGCCTTCCGGGTTCCAGCAACTTCCCTGCACGACCTTGTGCTGCCCGCGGCATGTCTGTTTCTCTTGCCATGCAAGCTGGACATCATGCGTCCAGCAGCTTTATCTTATCTCAGCACGGACTATTTGTTCGGATTGGTTTCAGAGTCATTGTGATTCGCGCCTGCAGTTGCGCAGGCACTGAGTCACCATCTATTGCGCTTTTTGCGCGCAACCGCAAATTTTTGGGGGGACAGTCAGCCCCGTTCATGGCTGTGGCTTTTGAGCAGTGAAGCCGTCCAAAGGATGCTGCAACCCAACTATACTAGACTTCTGAGTCATGCAAGTCAGCAGAGCCACTCTGAGGCCGAAGGAACCCATGGGATTGGTCTCGGTCATGCCCCATCCTGGCTCTGTTGGCGGATTCAGCGGTTGGGTGAGCCGTTGGCAAAAACATTTGGCCCCACAGCCTTGCAGGAACTCCACGCCAAGCCTTGGCATCCAACGGCGAGGATGCAGCATGAGGCATTGAATCAGTGATCTACTCTTTGATTGCAAGAAGCTTGTCGAAGAACCACCGCATCAGCGCAGGCTGCGGAGCGCTACCGCCGCAGGTCAATTTTTTCAAGGCCATGCCAGGACGGATCTTCTCCAGACCCACCTGCCTTTCAGAAGTTCACGTCTGATACTTTTTTCAAAAACATGTGAGTAGTGGCTTGGCTCCAGTCAAGCTGCTCGATGTGAGCCTTGACGCCTTGCCAAACAGTAGGCACCCCCATGGAGATGTCCACCTTCAGGCAAGGCTATGGGCGTTCACACCTCACCCTCTTCCTACGCCAGAACCTAGACAAGGCTTGGCATTTGCGCGGCCTTCCAGTCCAGCATCATGTTGACCAGGGTACCAGGATCCATAAAGCGTGACGTGAAAATGGCACGTGCGCCTCTCTTTTTGATGCATATCTGGAGCCGCCGTCCAGGTGTTGCGGTTTGGGCAATGACTGCAGCTTAGAAGCCCAGCATGAGCATGGCGAAGGGCGTTCCCCAGCTCAGCACATGGAACATGGGCACGAAAGGCAGCACCACCTGAAGCACATTCTCAAATGCCAAAGCTCTGCAGGACTTGATGTAGCTATCAGCGGCTCCTCATAGCCGTGCAGGCATAGCTGGTCTGCTCCAACCATCATCATTGTATGCCTTCATGCTGTCACGTTTCTTTGACATTGCTTGCACACATATAGTTTCATGCATCTGCAAAAAAGCTTAGCTTCGCCTAGCTCAGCTGAGATGCAAGTAAGTGGATCTATGGCTGTAGGCGACACCTTTTGGCTTTCCCGTTGTGCCTGCGCTCGGTTTCAATCGTACATCATGCTCAGCCAGGGTCTTGTGTACCCGTTCGCAAATGCCAATGTTTGATGTAGGCTGTGGTCATGCTATGCAATGCAGCTACAGCTGCAAGGTTCGACCAGCACTATCTGATTTCTTTGGCGTAGGGTGTTCCAGACAAGCCCTGCATTAAAATGGAACATGTCAAAGATACCTGTACTAGCCAGTGTTCAGGGCCTCGCCTGATGTATAACAAAGGCCCAGGGTCGTCGTCTCGGCGAAAACGGGCCATGCGAAGTCTGGACTCCCTGAACTTAGGAACTCTTCGTAGTCAATGGCGTTCACCCCCGCCAAGCCTGCCGCAGTCCCTTTCCCAGCTCATAGATGCATATGCAGGTCAACGGAAGCCCTTACAGCCACATGTAGCTGTTTGCATCATGATTATGCCATCTCGATGATCTCATTCTTCTGCACATGGCCTTGTGGAAGCTGCCATTTTGCTGGCACACCATCCTCTCCTACACCTGCAGCAAACATCTGTGCATGTGAGGTATGCTCTCCTGCTTACCATCTTATCTTATCACTGCGTGGCTTACTCACCCGAAGTGGTTGACCCCACATCATGCTCTAGCAAATGTTGCTACTGAAAGGATGCAGCACCAAAGTGGACTCTCTTGAGCGGGGTGCATACCAGCAGCTCCACCTTTGCCATAATTGACTTATCCAGCTCCGCAAGAAGATCTAGCTTGTCAGCATCTGCGAAGATAATGCCTCGGACATGAAAGTAAAAAGTAAGTCCTGGCTTCCATACAGTGAGACTTCATCTGAGGACTTGCTTGCGAGGGAGCTGCGGTCGCGTGCATGCTCAATGATGTAGCCCAGATCGACAGGGCCCAAACGCAGGTTCAATGTGTGTAGGACAGCACCCATGCATGGTATGGCATGGTAACCTGAATTGGGGCTATAGCTCCACGACGGGACATCACAAGTCTCACCTAAGAAAGCTACTTCTGAAATCCTTACGGCAAGAATCATTCATAATGCAATGCGCTGTTCCACATCAGCGTCGCAACGCGATCCTCCAGCATCACTCCATGCTTCGACAAAGCTGACGCCAGACGCTTGGTCCGACGGATGTGCTCAAGGTACGTCATGGTATGGTAGCCTCAGACACTCTCCACCCCTTGCAGGTCTGCGACAAGAAGACATGCGTGTGACATTGCGCAAACGCACCCAAGAGGCCATTAGACGTTCTTGTGACTATGAGGTTGCTAGGCTGCAGCATCGAGCCTGGGAAAACATGGCATGGCAACCACAGCGCAAAAACAGCACATAAAGCTTTTTGAAAGAAGTCTTCCAATGGCAGCGCAGGCTCCACGATCGGCCAGACGGCCTCAGTGACCGCACGCTTTAGCCAGCGGGATCTGTGCAGGACCAAACCAAGCTGCCCACAAACCCCTGCGGAGAAGGCAGCTACTATGTTTCAGAACAGGTGCTGAGCAGCAATGGCTCATGGTCTCTGGGGTTCACTTTCAGTTGGGCTGCCATGGCTGCACGGCACCACCTATCTTGCCACCATCGGGATGAGCAGCTGCAGCTGGCATGGTGACTCATCAGAAACGCTGACAGCCTCGTCAATTAAAAGCCTGAAGAATCTGCGGCTGAATGACTTGAAAAATGATCCTGGCTTACCTGGTTTTACATGCGCATCTGCTTCACAATGAAGCAAGAAGCGAAAGAGGGGGCCACATATTACAGAAGTGTATGGCTAGGATCAGCACTAGGGAGCTTGATATAGCATGCTTTGCCAGAGAAAGACGCAGCCATCACTGATCGCTAAGTTATGTTGCTTATATCCGGCCCACAAGAACTAATGATGGAATAAAAGCATTTGAGGGAATCATGTCTTCTTGAATTCTTCTGAAAGAGGGGTGTACCAACATAGCATGTGGAAGTGAAATTTCTGCCCCCAGCCTTTGCAGCAGTCTGCATGGATTCGTTGGGGCAGCGCGTTGTCAGAAAACATCCTGGTTGAGGGACTAGGGAATGAAGGGCCTGAAGGGCCGGACGTTCAAATGAGTCCTTGGCTTCAAACATTGCGTGCGAAACACATCTGCGGCAGCAACTTGGCAGCGTGCCGAAGGATACCACATGATTGATTTCGGCTCAGGTCTCCGACTTGGAAGCTGCAGGCACCATGCAGTGACACGTGGCGGGCAGGACCGATCTCATTAGCTCTGCTTGGAAGTGCTTGTCGCCCGGAGCTTCGAAGCTTTCCTTAGATGCTACGGAACTTTCGTACAGCAGACGAACCCCAATTGCTGCGGGATGAATCTCCTTGACAGCTGCCTCGATAATTAAAGAGCAAAGGGTCGAGGCTATCCCAAGAATGAGAGATGAAAATTTCAAAGCTCTCGATGCAATCAAGGCCGGCGCAATCAGCTAAACTCAGTTGGAGCAAGCGCCGATATTCAGTCAATCTGAGCATACCTTGGCTTTCGAAGTGATTTTGATACAAATGGGCTTGACGGACAGGATGGAAAAGGTAGCTGAAGCGATCTGAAGCGGCCAGCGGCTGGCAGGGCCCAGTTTCACATGGCCTGCCAAAACCAAGTCGTGAAGGCAGTGCATCTTGGAGAGCATCATGTCCACATGCCTCATTCAAGCACTCGCTCAGGCCCAGGTTGCTTGACACCCTTTTTCAAGGAAGGACAAAGGGCCGTGCAAGCGAAAAGTCATCCGCATCAAGGCATGACATGTCGTCGCAAAAACTTGCGGAGTTTTAGCAAGATTCCTTCATGCTGACGGGGCTTCGCAGCTAACCAACCAAGTGAGATGGGCAGCCCACTGCATGTCTGCATTGCTCAACGCATTAACAGGAGGTTTCTCCAAATAAAACGTTGCTCTCGATCCAGTTTTGGATTCACATGGATCCTTAATCACTAGCTGTGGGACAGGAGCCTTCACAATGGAGAGCCCGAACATCTGTGAAGCACTGACATGCTGACGACGTACATGGCACCACCGCTGCGAATAGTTATAGGAAAGCTCTGGGCCATAGGCCCGGACAATACGCGTCCCATGCTCACACACTACTGCGCAAGATGACAGCGTGCCGCATACGGAAGGTTGTTATGCTTCATCACCGCAGCTGCGGTCCACCCATGCCCCCTGTGCACGTAAACAATCCTAAGACCTAAGACAAGTCAGCACGGTAACAGACAGTAGAAAAGAGGACACGATGTCCTAAATGCCACGCATTTAGGTCTCAATCGCGAGCTTATGTCCTGTAGCCTTCCTCATTCCCAGTAGTAAAAATTGAGAGAGAGCGCGCCAGTTAGATCCTGCTCGAGCTTTCGCCCCAGTCCCTCTCCCCCAAGGTTTTACTAGACCAGCACCGACAAAGCAAATCCAGAAAGACAGAATCACTTCGAGGCTCAAGCCTGACCGCCCCATGGCATATAACCTTGTCATTATCTTCATTCTCGCATGGTTTGGAAGCAGAATTTTTTGGTGCTGCGACTTCAGACATGCCATCGACTTTTCTTTGGGTGGAGCAGGAGAATGAGCGGGTACGTTGGATCTGTGAACAGACGGTGCCCTTCAGGTTTCGGAAAACAATACATGTGGAACAGGCTGGCATGATGGACCTCAAGTAGCATGCAGTCCTACATTAACGGATCTAGTCCTTGCCAGTAGTCTGCCATACCCTAGTATATACAATATGTGCTCAAACACAAACAAGGTTTGAACGAAGGCCAGGAAGCTTGAACGAACCTTGTCCAGGGTTCATGCGATGGGTCGACCATGTATTCTTTTGCCTGTGACGCACGTGTGACGTGTTCTCTCATGTTCTTTCACACCCTTTTTGTCCATGTTCGTTGAGGGTCAGATACGGTGTTCTTTACCTGCAACCCCCCCCCGACCCAAGCCCGAGACCATCCCTGCCCTGCTGTCTGGCTGATAGACCCGCAAAAAATCGCCACGCACCGGGGGCCCCACTCCCCACACCCTTTTGCAAGCTAACGCTTGATAAGAAACTCAAGCTAGACCCGGAGGCTAGCTTTCGTGATATATTGTATATTTGTAAACTAAAACATGTCCTCAGTCAGGGAGATGCCTTCATCAACTTCTGCATAGCTTGTGACCAAATCACTTCTTGCCAAGTGGCTCGTCTAGTAAAATGAAAGCTTCAACAAATGGATTGGTAACATCCTGAAGCATTCCCCACAAATGATGAGGCGCTTTCACTACTTCACGCTGTACCGACTCCCTAGTCCTTCGCCGAGGTTGTCAAGGATAACACCTGGCAACGCTCAACATCTTCTAAGCGTGTTAGCAGAAGTATGGAGCTAGACACTGCGAAGCTCTCAGAGCAATGGCCTGCCTGGATGCTGCTGGGTAGAGCCTGAAGTGCTAGGCGTGGTCTTGTTGTCCGCAAATGTATGCGGAGTGGGCAGCTTGTTTCACCTGCCAACAATGTCCCTTTCTTTAACTTGCCTGCGTCAGTTTGCACAAAGCACGGCAAGCATAGGCAGCCTTGCAGAGAAGGCCATGGTCCAGTAGCCTCAACTGGATCCAGGCACAGCTCCTCGATCTTGTGAAGTCCGGATGGCCAGCTTGTAGGAAGAACCATCTGCGTGTTCTTCCTTGCAGAGTTTTCCATTCAATGTTGCCAGAACCGTTGCAACAGACGACTATGACGGGGTGTAGACAAGGTTCAGCCCCCAAATGCCGAGGCCATTCAAAGCTGGAAAGGCTTCCAGCTCCTGAGGAAGCATACAAGTCAAGATTTCATGCATGGCATCCCGCACTCACTAAGACAACAAATGAATGCCCTAGCTAATATCTTCTCCCGTCTTGTTTGTTTGTTACCATACAATTCCAGTTAGTTTCTGCTGGTCCTGCTACAGGTAAAACCGACAAGTTCTTCATTTCGCCAAGGCTCACCGAAGACTGCGCTGGACAGTGCACACTGAATCAAATCAAGTCGACGTAGGGCTTCAAAGAACCTGGTCTGTTTGGCTCACCTCTGCTGCAATGCAGTTGGCCCTGCCCCTGTTTCCCAGTAAGACGCTAGCTGTGCATGCCTGGCGATGGCAGCAACCTCCTGACGTGAATCAAGCTGCAGTTTGCATGTGCAAGGCAAGAACTGATGCCTCCAGGCCAAAGGAGTGCAGGATCAGTCTTTGCAGAACGCGGAACGGTTTCTGCAGCATTCGCCTTTCCATTACGAGTATCATTTCTTGAATGCATTGCACGCTGTCATCTAGAAATCAAGGCAACCACCTCCGGAAATCAAATTGCATGAGCTTCTGGGCATTGCTGAACCAGGCATCTCATCTTGAATGCTTCACTGTCAAATCCACTGCAGTCTCACAAAAACGTTTGATTGTGGCCGTGCTGGTGCCTCTCCAGGTCGGCAGATCGCAGAAGGATTTCACCGGCTTGTTTCAGGCAAGAAGTTGATGGTGTGTTGCCTCGCTTGATTGGTCTGTGGCAATCTTGTAATTGCACCTGAGACTAGCTGACTAGCTATGTCTTTCAGCGAAGCAGCGTAGGGCCAGGCCCGTTACTTGGTCATGCTGTGCCACCGCGAAGGCTTCAATGCGCGCGGCAAACCGAGCAGCGATGGACGCGTGACGCTCTCCAAGAAAACCCTCCTGTGCGAACAGCATTTGGGCAACGCTCTCGCAACACATCCCAGCCTCCAGCAGAACCACCCGGAGCCAGAAGTGTTTTATAGTCTTGCCAGCAGCATAAAGACCATGGCAGGTGCGCATTGCAGGAATGCTGTCAGCGCCTCAGGCGGCATAGTTGCTCATGTTGACCGCTCAAGCATGTATCAGCATCTAGGACAGACAGCGTTGACTTAGCCACGCCCCCCTACCAGTAGATTACCGCACTCGGTCACAGATAGTTTGCGTATAGATGTCGTCCTAGTGCAACCACGAACTGACTTCTTGGACTTCAGGTGACTTCTGGACATCTCTGAACCTGACATGATTTCACCCAGGAGCGGCCGAGGTGTTCTAGAAACCGCACCTTGATGTACATTCCAAAAGTTGACAACAGTCGTCGGTGCTTGCCCACTGCTTTTTGATGTACGAGTATCGCCTTGTGGCTGGGAAAGCTGCGTCCAAGCCGCCAGAATTCCTTCAATAAGCATTGTCATCCAGGATACAGTCGATGGTATCTCCCTGCCTGCAGTGTGCAGAGAAAGAGGGTCAGCCAAAGCGACCTGTTACTACCTGAACATCAGTGCTGTCAGGGAGCCTTTGCGTGATGAGTTGTTCACACGCGGACGTGGCGCAAAGTCTGCAAAGTTTGCCTCGCTTTGTCTGAAATCCTTCTCTGAGAGATCGACTGCCGAGCTGTATGCCTGCGTGCTTGAGGATTTGTCATTGTCAGAACCAATTCAGACTTGCAATGCCTGGCCCAGCTCTTGCCACCAAGCTACTGCGTGCAAGAACTGCAAACTTCCATCATGTGCCTGAGTACCCCGACACCGGTGTGTACGCAAAATCGCGAGTGCACGGAGGTCATATGATGTCATGTTTGTTCCCTCACACACATGCACCACGTGCTGGCGAAGGTGCCATCTCCCGGACGATGCTTTTTACTGCGCTCGGAGTGAATTCCTTTGCAGCTGGGCAGCTCTTTTTGTTGACGTCCGGTTCGCATACCGAACAACTTCTTCAGGCCGCGCTCAGCCCTACGGCATGTCTGTTCATGCTACATCATGTGAGTTGCATACAGCAAGGCAGCTCAATATCAAGCATCTTCAGCTGCAGCGTGGCCATCGAAATGTGCTTGAAAAAGCCTAGATGCCATAGTACCTGAGTGCTTTACGAGCTCTTCAGCTCTTCACCTCTCATCGAAAGCTGTCTATGGCACCATTGCAGCCCTCTCTTTAATTGCAATACACGCAGCAGTCATACGCGGCATCCACCAAACACATCCTTTGCAGTGCAAAATGGCATCTAGCAAGCATCGTTGCGAAGACCTCCCCTGCACTAATCGCGCAGTTGATCCTCGCTAGTTGTAGTCACGTCTCACCAGCAGATGTGCCACCGAGTCTGGCAGCTCGCTGAGCTGCGGTGCCATGGCTGCAGACCTGCAGATGCCTGCTGTTTGTCTTCACGGATCTTGTTCACAAGCTATGCTTCAAACGCTTCTCTGGCCAATGCGCAGGTTCACGCGTCGCCCGGCTCCGAGCCGCACATTGCTGCAAATTCAGCATGTGGAAGCAGCTCAATTCTGGAAGGCTGACACAACTGTTTGAGAATAGCGCCCCGCACCACAGCAAAGGCATCCGGCAAGGAAACCTACAAGGTCAAGAAATCATCTCTCTAGGCATGCCAACACCCACTGAGTTGTAGTTAGCCTGGTTGCTCAACTGTGAAGTCAAAAAGCTCTAAGTAAACGAGGGACGTGCAGTGAAGATAGCCGCTTGCTTGCTGTCCTGCCTCTGACAAGTCCGATTCGCTGTAGTCCTGGACTTTTGTATTGGCTTGAAGCATTACCCTGGCCCTGGGCAAGCTTTGTCTTTTAGAGCGTCAGGCTGCAAGCTTTGCTGCTTCAGTCAGCACGACAAAACCGACTCATTTGAGTAATGGCCAAGACTCCATCCATCCGGTACTGGGTGCAGGGGGCATGTCTCATTTCAGGAGCCCCTAACAATTTACAAGGCTTCGTGACAAGGTTTTGTGCTGAAGCATGTGCATGACTCCATGACCTTGTTGGGGGTGTTGTGCGGGGTACTCTGCTTGCATACCAGATAATGGCTTGCCCTGTACAGTCCTTACTGATATGCTTGTCCTCAGTATTGGCAGCTAGTATGATGGGTGTTTGTCTCTTGCGCGAGCAAGAATTTCAAGCTCTGTGCTGTGCCAGCTTCCCGCAGACTGAGCCTTCAATCTGCTCCTGCTTGGCGAAGCAGATGGCGGAGAAACCGCGGGGGCTGTTCGTAATTATCTGATATTCTGTGCACTGGTGCTCTGCACGCAGATCGGTCAGTGCTCCGCTGAGCTCCGGGTTGTTTGCCACAAAATGGGCGACGTTATCATGCTAGGATGCTGCTGAGGATGGCTCAGAGAAACACGTCCCTGCATGGAGAACACTGGGAACCACAAGTTTCATTTACCGGCACCATCCCTTTTGGCTTGAGCCAAAGTGAGGGGGAACCCACGAAAACTGCCGCTCTGGCATGAGCATGACAGTCTTGGATGCATTAGCAAGAAGTCCGGATTTCTCAAGAAATTGTCTATATTGATGCTAGCTTTGATCAGGCACCGTCACGTCGACGGTTTGTGAATCAAGGATGGTTGTCGTAGCCTTCCCATCCACGTCTACAGCAGTCTTTGTCGGGCTATTCGCAGGGTTTGCGTCTGCATACCATTCGCGGGATTCCTGGGCGAGAATGGCAATAGCCCCAAAAACACAAGCATCTGAAAACTCTTGCTTGAAAGGTGCGATTGCATGGCCTGAAAGCTTGTTCAAGATGTCTTCTTCGATGACGACGTCTGTCCCAGCCTCCAATCATTCCAACAAAGCAAGACAATGATTTCCCAGCTGTCCCTCTAAGTTTGGGAGCCCCGAGCTTTCTTCCGGTCAAACCTTTGTCAAAGTAGGACTTTGCCCCCTGCCCCTTACTGCACAACGTCAAGCGACCATGGTAACCACCTGCGGTTGTGACAGATCTAGGCACACCTTCGTTTTGAGGAGGCGTGCAGCCTTCTCTTGAAACCCTTGACATGGTCTACACCAGCATACCACGCTGCTAGAACCTAGGATGGCAGAGATGCTGCATCATGCTGCATCGCACACACACGCAATCATCAACATGTGCCAGGGGCCTTGGGAGCAGCTGGCACTGTGTTCTGCACTTCTGCACCTGACATGCCCAGTCGGATCGTGATTTATCAGTGAGTTTGATTCAACTGTTTCTGAAAAATTTTGCAGCTCCTGGCTGTTTCTGTTTGGATGCTTGACATCTTCCAGACAGCATTGCTCGAAAGGTTGTCCTGCCTATACTTCAGTTGGGAAAACAGGCAGGACGTTTAAGTCTCCTGCCTACGATGAAGTCCTGTACTTCAAAACCCCAAACGAAACCAACTAACATGTTGTTCCATGCCAAAAGAAACTAGTTGTGCAAGGCATTGCCCTGAGGGTTTAGCTTAGGAGGTAAGCGCAGCAAATTCTGGTTTGTGCCTTCTTCACAGTCGCGCTCTGACTGGGGCAACCTTGGCTTGAGAGCACTGTATGAAGCTCAGGCTGGCGTGGCCAGCAGGCTATGGCTATGGCTATGGAACATACACTCATATGAGACGAAACATTTCGGGGAGGGTGGGTGTGTCTATGCCGCTATGCATGCATGTCAAGGCAAGTTCCTGAGGACTTCTTGGAACTGATTGGATAACCTACGACCGCGGGATGAGTTGGATGCTCGCGTTCGTACTGTGAAGAAATTCAGCCCAGCCTTGTGCCTAGAGATCCTAGAGATGCCTTGAGGCATTTTTTGTGCTTCAGTTTGCAGCCGAACAGCGGGTCATCCAGGTTGAGTAGCGTTCGGCCTTCAAAAGCAATGGCCCCGGTCAATGACGGCTTGTCCAGCCCGAAGATTTGGCACTCAAATTGTGCAAGCTGGTCCACGAACTCCTGCTGCACTGAGCTGCCCGATGGTCCAAACATGATTCGCTGCCGTGTTCTGATCCTGATTTAGATTTATTTCAAACAGAAAGCCTTCCGTGGATCTGCAACGGTTCGCCTTTCTCGAACATGGTCGTATGCTTCACGGAGGTGCATGTGCTCGTACTTCATCAAGTATGCGATGACAACTGAGGCTGATCGAGAGATGCCCTGCACGCAGTTGACCTCGTATTGAGAAAGGAACGGCGCACATGTCCGGCTGGGCTCTTCCCTATGGTTCTCACGGATGACCTCTCGCAAACAAACCACTACACGCGGGCTTCTGCAATATAGTGTCCGACACACACAAAACTTGCTTAGTCAGTTGCATGCTGAAACGCTTCCTAGGGTCAACAAGGTTTGACAAAAAATGCAAGCAAAAGGATTTCTTGTCATGCGAGGTCGACAAGCACGTGATGCTGCTGGCTCAAAGACCGCGCATCATGGATGAACTGAACCGCGCTATCTAGCTCAGGTAGAATGTGTTGATCTGGAGTGTCACCGAAGCTGAACTTCTTGTACACGAAGGGAAGCCCTCGCTCGAGATTGTACTCAGTGGCAATGATCCTGAAGTCCTCTTTCAGGTTGACCTCCTGCGCCAAATTGAGCACGTGAGTGATGTTGGTTCGAACCGTTAGCTCTTTGTCATTTTCCAGGTTGCGCTTGCCTTGGATCAGACTTCACCAACTTTGGACAGAAGACAGCCTTATGCAATCCCAGGGGAGCTTCCAAGCCAAGTTCTGCAGTGGTAGCAGGCAACACCTTGCTCGTACGCGAGGTATCTGCTTCAGCTGCTGCACTCCAGCCGTGTTGCCGCCAAGGAAAAGCCATGGAAGTATCTCCTCGATCTGAAAAGCAGGAAGTTAGCCATGCATCAAGCATGATTTTAACTGCCATTCAGCAAAGCAGCGCTGGAATGAGCAGTCATGTGTGACTCGAAATGCTCTTTGAGCACTTCCTTTTCGCAGCGGGGGCAAGTTACCTTCTCCCTGGCCGCGGATGGATCGATTTGAGATAAGTCGATATCCTCGATTTCCTGCACAGGTTGAGTGTGCAAGGCTCTAGCAGCTCTATCATCCTGGAACTCTGTCCATGCATGAATGGACGACGTTTGGCCTTGGCTTCTTCTAGATCCTTCCTTGTTTGCTGAGCTGCAAGTGACAGGCATAGACAGAGGCTTCTTGCTGACCAAAATAATCGAGGCAAAAGCGTCTTCTTGCCAACAGCTTCCACTTTGCTCAGCAATGCGCTCATGCCAGCTCCGCTGCTGCCAGTGCTGACTGCGGGTTTTGGCGGTTGAGCCTTTGGCTTTGGGGCTGAAGCCTGATGCCACGACAAGCTGAGCTTCTGCTGTGAACAAGTTGGTGCAAGGAACGTCAGGCAGCCTTGGGTGGTGGCGGCATCTTTGACTTTCCTTTGCCTTTGCCCTTTGGCTGTGCTGCCTGCTTCCCAGTGTGGCTTTTCCGTTCTCATGCCACTGTGCGCCGACCCTCAGGCCTGCTCCCCGTTGCTCTCAGACCTGATCCTGGCAGTGGAACCTGCCTCCAACAGTTCTGAGTCGACCTGCGAATGTGCCACAAACCCATGCCCATGTAGAGATGCAAGGCAGCACTTTTGCGGCTTGCAATGATGACCTCGCGGTCGATGGGCGGAGTCCTATGTCGGTCCATGAACTGGTGGTGGGAAGCTTTTTTTTTTTTTTTTCAATGTTTTTT